AGGCAGGACCATCATCTAGAGCCAAACGATGATTTTGTTCAATTGGGAACTGAACTGGTTTACAATCCAACAAACCAGTTTCTTTGAGAATATCCAACGCGTATTTACGTTGACACAAGAAAATACCGTCATCATGACGAGCAACTTCGATGCCTAAAAAATATTTCAACTGGCCCAAATCCTTAATTTTGAAGCATTTGTTAAGATAAGCTTTAGCCTCTTGACATGCCTGTGAATCATTCCCTGCCAACACCAAATCGTCAACGTAGATCAAAATGGCTAAGAAACAAGGACCACGCTGCAAAGTGAATAAAGTGTGATCTGCTGCAGATTGAATAAAACCATATTGGACAAGAGAAGTGCTTAGTTTTGCAAACCAATTTCTGGGAGACTGTCGCAAACCATATAAGGACTTTTGTAGGCGACATACTTTGCTTCCTTGCCCTTGATTAAAGCCAGCTGGGATGCGCATGTACACTTCTTCATCAAGATCGCCGTTAAGGAACGCGTTATGAACATCCATTTGATGTAAATACCAACCTTTTGCTGCTGCAACCGAGAGTAAAGTTCTAACACTCACCATTTTCGCTACTGGAGCATAAGTCTCAGTGAAATCCTCGCCTGGAATTTGGTGATTGCCTGCGATTACTAATCGGGCTTTGTAACGCTCGACGCTGCCATTTGAGTGATATTTAATTTTATAGACCCATTTACATGGAAGAGCATGCTTCCCAGCTGGTAACTCGGTGATAGCCCATGTATGATTTTCTTCTAGGGCTTGGATCTCTTGTGCCATGGCTTGACGCCATTCGATATTTGCCATAGCTTCTTTAAATGAGCGAGGTTCAGTTCCTGTGTCAATAGCAGCAACAAACATGCGATGTTTTGAAGAAAATTTGTTAGTGGTTACATAGTTTGCAATAGGGTACCACATACCTGAGGTAGAAGTGGAAGAGGTGAGAGCAGGTGGTGGTGTATGTGTTGTGATCATATTACAGTTGTAGTCATTCAAGTATGATGGTGTCCGTCGTGTTCGTGCTGGACGATGAGACTCAGGTTGAGTTGTTTCTTCACTTCGGGGCCCCAAATCACAACTGGGCTCTTCAGTTCTATGTACTAGAGTAGGTGCTGGATTAAGATTCCCTTGCATGGGATCAGGAGGTGATGGAGAATGCTCAAGGTGCTCAGAACTGCACTCTGTTCCACCACGCGTAGAACTCCCCCTGGCGTCGGGCTGTGCTTCAAGTACAGAACTTCGTGATGGATGATCAGGGACATGTGGGGTCACTTCATTCGAATCTTCTTGAAGAGAAGAAGGCAATAAAGGACGCGGAGTAGGTAAGTCTGCCGCAATAAATGGAAACTCCTCCTCATGAAAACTAACATCTCGTGAAACAAAAAATTCCTTAGTATCAAGGTCATAAACCTTCCAACCTTTCTGCCCATAAGGATAACCAATAAACATGCACCTTCTAGATCTTGGGCTGAACTTGTTTGCTGGTTTCGGTTGCGTCACCACGTAACATAAGCAACCAAATACCTTTAAGTGCCCATAGTCATCAGTGTACCCATGCAGAATTTCATGAGGGGTCTTTCCATGAAGAACCTTGGTTGGAGTTCGATTAATTATGTGGGCAGCAGCCATGACACTTTCCCCCCAGAATTTAATTGGCAAGTTAGCTTGAAATAAAAGTGCTCTAGACACGTTTAAAATATGCTTGTGTTTTCTTTCTACTCGTCCATTTTGTTGTGGCGTATGGACACATGATTTCTGATGAAACACACCATTTTCAGTGAATAATTCAGCCATCTTATGAGAAGTAAATTCCGTGCCATTATCTGTCCAAACTGATTTAACCGTTGTATTAAACTGATTTTGCACCATTAGAAGGAATTTTCGCAGAAATAAATACGTTGCACTTTTATCATTCATTAAGCAAACCCATACAGCACGACTAAAGTCATCAACTATGGTTAAGAAGTAATAAGCACCCGAAGAAGAGGGAGTTCTATAAGGACCCCATATATCACAATGAATCAGATCAAATACTTTATTGCTTTTGCGATCACAAATAGGAAAAGAGGATCGAATTTGTTTGGCACGATAACAGACATCGCAAGCCTTTTTATTCATACTGCAAAATTGAAAACCTCTAGAAAAAGAGAGCATAGAAAGTGCTTCAGGTGATGCATGTCCCAACCGCTTGTGCCAAAGCTCTTGTGAATCATTTGAACGTGTTGTGAAGGCTGCTACTTGGCTTGGTCTCAACACATACACACCATCCTTTTGGTCACCCAATCCAATCTCCGTCCTCAGCTTGCGGTCCTGTAACACACAACAATCATGAGTAAACACCACATCAACGTTTTGTTGTCGTATCAATTGAGAAACTGATATCAGATTACACTTTAGATTAGGAACAAATAAAACGTTGGATAAAGAAAAATTGTCAAATAAAACAGATCCTTGTTGCTTTGCATAAGTGACAGCTCCATTAGGTAAAGCTATTGACAAAGGCTCAATGGTCGTAATGTTTGCAAATAAGTCCAGAATTCCTGTCATGTGACGCGATGCCCCACTATCTATAAGCCAATGTGAATTTTTACCAATTAATTTTTCCTTCGATTGTCGAGGCTGATCAACCAGTGTGAGTAGTTTTGTTACTACATCTGGTGTCAAAACAGGAAAAGCGTTTGCTTGCTCAGATGAGTCCTCCGTTTGTGCTGCGTTTGCAGCAAAAGGCTTTGCATAGGAACCTCCTTGTGAGTTGCGCCATCCCCCTTGTGAGTTACTTTTGTAACCACCAAAGCGGCCACGACCTCGCCCCCTTCTACCGTCGCGGCTGAGAGCTTTGCGCCCCTTACCTTCGTCACGACCAGGGAATCCGAATGCTTGCCAGCAACGCGAGGCCTCGTGATTATTTCTGCCACAATGGATGCATGGAGGACGATCGGCAAACCGGTCCTTGGCTGGTGCAGGTGCTTGTACTGCATTTCCAACTTCATCATTACGAGGAGTCTGATTTCGAGTGATAGCTCTGTGATAACACATATTTTGTTACACTTATTTGTTACTCTTGATTAGTATTTTTAGGATTTATTTGAATAAAATAATGATTGTTAGAGTTAATTTAGGTTTTTAGTTTTTAATTGGGTTTAATTTATTTTCGTCAGAATTTTTCAGCTTTACGTTACTTCTGTATTTTGGCCATATCTCGGTCCATAGTTGTCGGATTGACTCCGTTCTTGTTGGGTTTTTCAGATAACACAGAGAGCTACAATTCTTATACAGAGCTCTAAGCCCATTTCGGACTAGAAGCTGGTCTATTTCGGACACCAAGTTGGACGCGTTTTGCTGAAGTTTTGTTTGACTATTGGGCTTGTAATTTAAATTAAAACCCAATTACTTAAGTGGCCCAAAGCCAAGTTTTATTGTTTCATTTTATTTTATTCGGTTTTTTTATTTTATGTTTGGGCTGGAGCGATGAAACCCTAGCCGTCCTGCGTGACGGCTATTTAAAGGGGACTCTAGGAAACCCTTGGTAGTCAGTTTTTACAACAGAGAAGTTCTCTCTGAGTTTTTATTCAATTGCGTTCTTCATCTTTTTTCTTCTTCTTCTTCTTTTTATTTCAATTATGTTTACCTTAGCCATGCGAGGCTAAGAACCTTTTAATCAACCTAAGGGTAATGGATTCCATGGATTGGTCTTGAGGATCTGCATTTATTTCAAATCAGTTTTGTTTCCCTTCCCAACTCAGATTGATATCGTGCGATCGTGGATATTCAATCTGAGGTTCGCGATTGCGATTATGGAAAGGGATTAATCATCAGATTTGATGATTAGGTTGATTGACCCTATGACCTTAAATCAAGCGGGCTGATACTCTGCGATTGTATGAGTAGAAGCATCGTCTTTGATCAAATGCTAAGCGATCGCTTAGAGAGGGTTGTCAATTGGAAATAAGGATTCTGATCCGATTGACAAATCAATCACGATTATGATATTTTCTTATCCAAGGAAAGACGTCCATGGATCCCAAACCTTAGGTTGGTTAATTTTTAATTACGAATTTTTATTCCAAATTTATATTCTGCCTTTTTAATTATTGAATCAAAATCCAAAATCCCCCTTTTAATTTTCTGTTCTCATAAGCGATTTTAACCAAAACAATTTCCTTGAGAGACGACTTAGGGTTTCCACTTTACTGCAAATTTTCTGAACCCTAAAGAATTAATTTTTAATTTGCGCGAGTTCGACAGCTCGTGTCAAATTTGGCGCCGTTGCCGGGGAAATTGCATCGGTCTAAATCGTTTTCTGATTCTTGATCATCTTCTTTTTCATCTTCATCTTCTTTTTCTTTAATTTTCGTTTTTGAAAAAAAAAAAAATCAATCAAAAAAATCAAAAAAAATAAATAAATTGGGAAATCGGTAAAACTTCAGTTTGAGCGATTGGTTCCAGGACGTATCGGGTATTTCTGAACTTGTTCAACTTGCTCTGATCGCTCTGAAAACTGGTTTTGCCAAATTCCTTTGTTTACTATTTTATTTTATTTTTCGAAAAAACAATTTATTTGATTTTTGAGTCCGTAAGGTCAATTAGAGTTTAGGAGTGTTGGTCCCATAGCATTCTGAGTTCATTTAGTATTTTTTTTATAGATTTATTTTTGCTTCTGTTTGCTATGAATCCAATTTTTCACCCTACAGATGTTTGTTCTTCCTTTCCAGACAACGGTTTCCAAGTTGATCAGTCTTTTGCTGCAGTTTTTCCTGCAAAGCCACAATACCAGCAGCAGCAGCAAAACAATCCCTTCTCTAATGCATATAATCCTGGCTGGAAAAATCATCCAAATCTCAATTGGAATCAGAACCAGCAAAGTGCACCATTCCAACATAGGCAGCAGTTTGCACCTTCTCAACAGAGGCAAAATTTTCAACAATTTGCACCTCCACAGCCAATGCAGCAGCAAGCCAGTAGTGATGGTCCTTCTTTGGAGGATTTAGTGAAGCAGATGGCAACTATCAATCTGCAGTTCTAGCAGATTACTGAGTATTCCCTCCAGAATCTGCAAACACAGATTGGCCAACTTGCAACGTCAATGAGTCAAAATCAACAAGCAAGTGGCAGCTCCCTTCCATCCCAAACAGTTCCAAATCCAAAAGGAAGCGGAAATGTGAGTGCTATTACTCTGCGGTCTGGCAAGCATATGGAGGAGCCAAACCACACTGCTGCTGAGTCATCTAAAGGAAGTGACACTAGCTCCAAGAAGCAGAGCACTGATACATCTGATCATCTTGTTTTCTGCATTGATGTGATAGATGAAGTTGTTGAGGATTTTTCTCCTGAATTCCTTACTGATTTTTCATCTATTCATGGTTCTGATTTCTGTGATTGTAGTGATAGTCAAGAGTGCATTGTGTGTGCTGAAATAGCATCACATCTTTCTGGTTTTAACGATGCACTTATTGATGAATCTGATTCTGAGTGTGAATCTGCACTTTCTGAATTGCCTGCTGATATTATTGATGATCCTAATTCTATTTCTGAGAATTTGTTTACAGGCATTGCTGCTGACTTGTTTTCTGCAGAATTTGCACCACCAACTACACCTCTTCCATCCAGTGAGCAGCCTCCGAAATTGGAGTTGAAGGTTCTGCCCGACCACTTGAAATATGCATTTCTTGAGGAAAATGAGCAGTTACCTGTGATAGTGGCCAAGAACCTTCTACCTGAGCAGGAGGTAAAGCTTCTGACATTGCTGAAAGAAAATAAAAAGGCAATTGGATGGACTTTAGCAGATAATGTGGGAATCAGCCCTTCCATGTGCATGCACCGCATTTTACTTGAAGGTGTTAAACCAGTGAGGCAGAAATCAGGCTGTTTGATGCTGTTTATTCTCCTTAGGGAGTTCAAGGAGTTCTCTTCCCTCTTTTTCTTTTCTTTCTGTTATTTGCATTTTTATTTTTATTTTCCTTTCTTTCTTTTAGTTTTTGACTTTTTCTTTTCTTTCTGTTATTTGCATTTTTATTTTTCTTTTCCTTTCTTTCTTTTAGTTTATGATTTTTTCATAGGTAGATTTTCCTTTTCTTTCTGGTAATTATTGAGTGGTACATAGAGTAGACATAGATCACAGTGTTTGATAGCATAAATCTGTTGGGCTTTGATCTCGATTCTTGGATTACAACTACCTATTGATTGATTCTGTGCTGTTGATTGCATGACTTGGTTTACCCTTGTGAGGTTTTGAGCCTGCATACATGGTATATCTTCTGGCCATGCTTTCTTTCTTGTGTGTTTCTGCTCTTGATTGTTGTCCTCTAGAACTTGCTCTTGTTCTTTTTGAAACTGTATTTTTCACTTGCATGCATGAACATGATTGAGGCATTCGTTCTTTTCTGTACCCACTTTAGCCAGATAGTCGTCCCTTATATTATTATCCCTTGGTGAGCCCCTTTGAGCCTTTATATCTTTTATTTCTTAAGCCGCATTACAAGCCTAAGTGAAAAACCAATTAATTCCACACCCTGGAGTTTTACTGAGCATTGGTTTCATTGTGATGTTGTGTTTAAGTGTGGGGGTTTGCCCGAGACGGACAAAAGTTTAAGTGTGGGGGGTGACCATCTGATTCATTTCTGCTATGTGGTTTTACTTCTTCAAAACAAAAACAAAAAAAAAGAAAAGAAAAAAAAAGTGTTTATCTTTTCAGTATCTTTGTTTTATGTTCTTAGTTTAGTTCTTAACTTTTGCTCTTTGTAAAATTCTGGGGTGTTTAGCTTTCTCTTCCATATTCATCCATACCTTTACCTCAGCCCCATTACAACCCTGCATAAAGCCCTCTTGATTTGTGCATGCATGTGTTATGAGCAGTGGAGAAGTAGAACTTGAGCAAGCCTATGGTAGGATGATTTTCTTGAGTTGATTTGAGTGATATACTGAATTAACTGATACACTTGAGAGAAAAATTGAGAGCATCTTGTGAGGAACCATTTTTATGCAGTTAGCAGTTGCAGTTGAAGTTAGCAGGTCTTGTGATTTGAGATTAGGGAATTTCTGTCCTGATTGATTTATCTGTAGAAGACTTGTGATCTTTGTATATTTTCTGTATGCTTGGTAATTGTTAGAAATGATTGGTTGATCTTAGTATTTACTTTCAATTTTAGTTTTTGCCCAGGAGTGCAAAAAGATAAGTGTGGGGGAATTTGATAACACATATTTTGTTACACTTATTTGTTACTCTTGATTAGTATTTTTAGGATTTATTTGAATAAAATAATGATTGTTAGAGTTAATTTAGGTTTTTAGTTTTTAATTGGGTTTAATTTATTTTCGTCAGAATTTTTCAGCTTTACGTTACTTCTGTATTTTGGCCATATCTCGGTCCATAGTTGTCGGATTGACTCCGTTCTTGTTGTGTTTTTCAGATAACACAGAGAGCTACAATTCTTATGCAGAGCTCTAAGCCCAATTCGGACTAGAAGCTGGTCTATTTCGGACACCAAGTTGGACGCGTTTTGCTGAAGTTTTGTTTGACTATTGGGCTTGTAATTTAAATTAAAACCCAATTACTTAAGTGGCCCAAAGCCAAGTTTTATTGTTTCATTTTATTTTATTCGGTTTTTTTATTTTATGTTTGGGCTGGAGCGATGAAACCCTAGCCGTCCTGCGTGACGGCTATTTAAAGGGGACTCTAGGAAACCCTTGGTAGTCAGTTTTTACAACAGAGAAGTTCTCTCTGAGTTTTTATTCAATTGCGTTCTTCATCTTTTTTTTTTCTTCTTCTTCTTTTTATTTCAATTATGTTTACCTTAGCCATGCGAGGCTAAGAACCTTTTAATCAACCTAAGGGTAATGGATTCCATGGATTGGTCTTGAGGATCTGCATTTATTTCAAATCAGTTTTGTTTCCCTTCCCAACTCAGATTGATATCGTGCGATCGTGGATATTCAATCTGAGGTTCGCGATTGCGATTATGGAAAAGGATTAATCATCAGATTTGATGATTAGGTTGATTGACCCTATGACCTTAAATCAAGCGGGCTGATACTCTGCGATTGTATGAGTAGAAGCATCGTCTTTGATCAAATGCTAAGCGATCGCTTAGAGATGGTTGTCAATTGGAAATAAGGATTCTGATCCGATTGACAAATCAATCACGATTATGATATTTTCTTATCCAAGGAAAGACGTCCATGGATCCCAAACCTTAGGTTGGTTAATTTTTAATTACGAATTTTTATTCCAAATTTATATTCTGTCTTTTTAATTATTGAATCAAAATCCAAAATCCCCCTTTTAATTTTCTGTTCTCATAAGCGATTTTAACCAAAACAATTTCCTTGAGAGACGACTTAGGGTTTCCACTTTACTGCAAATTTTCTGAACCCTAAAGAATTAATTTTTAATTTGCGCGAGTTCGACAGCTCGTGTCACTCTGTGAGTCTCTTCCTGGGTCATAATGGCATACACCTTATTCATCGTTGGAAGAGGTGAATTGTTGAGGATTTGAGACCGCAAATTGCCATAGACATCATCAAGGCCCATAAGGAACTTGTATACCTGATCATGTTCCATTTCTTCTTCAACTGCCTTTGCATATGCGCAGTTTGCTCCACACGGACAATGTGTATAAGTTTTGCTGCTGGCGAGCTCATCCCAGACAGCGCGTAGCTGCATGTAGTATTCTGCAATGGTGGTACCTTGCTGCCTTATGGTGGCCAAACTAGCCTTGAGTTGGTATTGACGAGTAAAATTTTCGACAGCATACCTTTCCTTCAGGTCATTCCAGAGGTCTTTTACCTCATCAAAGCACTTAATGAATGGTTGCAATTTCTGATCGATGGTATTGTGTATCCATCCGTTGATCATGGAATTACACATCTCCCAGGCGCGCCACTCCTCTGCTTGCGCCTTGTCAGGTTTCTTAATGGATCCATCAATGAATCCCAACTTGTTTTTTGATTTGAGGGCATTTTTCATGAGTTTTGCCCAGTTCTCATAATTTGCTTCCCTAACATTTGTCAAGAGAATGCCAGGATTATCTGAACCGGCGAGATAGAAATGTGAACCCGGGTCTGTGGGTTTCGTTCCACTAGTGGTCATCTTCAAGTAAGACTGAAATCTGCTCACAGCTTTAGAGTTGTGCACGTCTGCGGAAGTGTTTAGGAAAGACAAGCTCTGATACCATGATAAATTGTACAAAAGGAAATTGTTTCCATTAATTCTCTATCGTATGAAGTGAACATGAATACAAATAAATAGGCCTATGGCTGTTCCTGATGGGTGCAACTACTTCCTAAATATATGCAACAGCTAAGATGCTACTATCCTAGAATACATCAGATAACAAAATAAGCTAGGAAAAAGGTATCCTAACAAACTAAGATAACAACCAATCTACAACTAATAACAATCAGATCAGATCGAATCTTCTATTCCAACAATTCCAATGTATTATTTTTGGGACGAGTTTAAATATCTTAATCGGTGATTCACCTCACAATCCAAATTAATCTCATATACAACTCAAACAAAATTTATAAAAATATTGAGAAAGTCAACACACTGAAAAAATAACTATGGTTGTATTAACTTGAAAAAAAAAGGGGATTGAAATTCTTATGTAACATAAGAATTCACTTTGTTTCTGCAGATAGAAAACTTGTAGCTTTCAATTTTTTTTTCTTTTTCTTTTTTAAACTTTCATGGAACTCATGTTATTGTGTTTGTGCAGAAATAAGTTGACATTTTTATGTAACATAAGAAACTTTTAACCCAAAAAAAATACCAGTTTTACACACAAAGTCTATCGTTTCCTTGAAAAATTACAAGAGAGTGCGTCAGTTTACATCACCCCTATTGTCATCCTATTATCACCCCGGTTGTCATCGTATTACCTTATATAAAAGCGGAACAGTGATCATTTTGTCACGTCTGACAAAAAAATTTACCAGACTGCCACGTCAACAGTAAATTTTGCCAAAATGCCACGCGACATATTTCAATACACAGTGTAGCGAAATATGTCATGTCAGGCTGCACAATCAGCAAAAATGTCACGTGTCAAGCAGGTAGAAATTCGCTACACTGTGTAGCGAATTATGCTTGAAATCTGTCTGCTTAACACGTGTCATTTTTGCTGACTGTGCAGCCTGACATGACATATTTCGCTAAACTGTGTAGCGAATTATATACAAACATATTTCGCTACACAGTGTAGCGAAATATGTCGCGTGACATTTTGACAAAATTTATTGTTGGCATGGCAGTCTGGTAAATTTTTTTATCAGGTGTGGCAAAATGGTCACTCTCCCTATAAAAGCAGGGATTAATATTTTATCTCTTATATATATAAAAAAAATATGAAATTTATATTTTTTTTCTCTCTCACTTTATATGAACTTTATATATTTTTATATATATAAAAAAAATTACTTTCTATAATCAAAAAGTATTAATCTCATAAAAATAAGGATATATTTTCTCATATTGCAGAACGAAAAGCATCCCTTCTGTACTAACATTAAAAGTTGCACAAACAAATTTTTTTTTTTTAAATCAGGTGAGTTTTGCATTTTGTTGTATCTGCAACAAAGTTATTTGTTTATCTTGCAACAAGAGAAACAAATAACCTATCAAAGTAACAAGTTTTATACTTGGAGAAAAATGTTTATCTTTTTAAATGATACAACTTATATTATTTCACTCTCACAAAGAGGTGAATTTTTTTGTCCACTCTCTCTCTCTCTCTCTCTCTCTCTCTCTCCCTTTATCTATCTCTTTCCAATTAAAATAACACAATTTTATATCCTTTAAGACACACACTTTTCCTTTATACATATACTTGTCATTGTTCTATTTGTAGACAATGATTCATATAATTAAATAATTAGAATCACTAAATAAATTATATTGATATAAAATAATCCTAACTTATATATATATATATATATATATATATATATATATATTAACTCCAATATAAGATTAAAAAGTCTTACTTCTCATCTCAGCAGTTGATTTTCATTTATCTAACGATTGTAGTTTACTAAGTTACATCAATAAATTAATTATTAATTTCAAATACATTATAATCATTAGATAGATATAAATCGACAACTGAGGAAGAAGAAAGACTTCTTAATCTTACACTTGAGTCAAAAGATCGCTTTTTATTAGGGCTGACAAAACGGGTTAGGCACGACATGCCGTTTTTTTGCAAGTTTATGTCAGGGAGGGGCGAGTCGAAGTGGGTCAGTGTAAATAGGTTCGGGCAGGCGATTTGAGTTTTTTAGTCCACTTTCAAAAGAGGGGCAGGCTGGATCATTTTTTGGCGGGACGAGACGGGCCGCTCATTTTGTCACCTCTACTCTTTATATATATATATATATATATATATATATATATATAGGGATATGATCCATTGACACCAGTGTCAAATTTTGAGAATCAAACTTATTAATTAATTATTAATTTCTAATAAATGATAATCATTGATTGACAAAAATCAACAGTTATGATTTGGTGTCAAATTTCAAATTTTGACACTAATATCAAAAGGATCCTATATATATATATACACACACATGCGAGGGAAGTTATATTTATAATCTATTTTCGCTTATAATCTTTTACAATCAAATTTTAACCGATACTTTCTGTCAAACTAACAGTTATAATTTATTGAGTTGCATTTATTAATTAATTATTAATTCCCAATAAATTATAACCATTGAAGTAAACACGTTAAAGACCTCCATGGCTTCATATAATTTCCCGGATTTTACTACGTGCTCGATTATCATAGTATAGCTTCTGCGATTTAGAAGTTATCCTTCATCAATCATCCTGAAAAAAACTCGAACAACCTCAGATTCCTTTCCCATTTGTGCATAAAGAGCCATAACAATGTTATAAGATTCAGTGCAGACATGGTTATTGGCAAGTCTATACTCATCCCAGACCCCAAGAACAGAGTCAAGGTCCCTAGCTGCGGCATGCCACTGCATGAAATTCATAAAGCTGATATTAACATTGCCGAACCGTTTAGCTCGGATAGAATCAACGAGGGATTTGAGCTCTGCGCATCGACCAGACTTTGCAAGCACAGTGGCGAGGCCATGGAGGATGTTGTGGGTATGTGAAAAATGGGGACTTTCCTCGAGGGCATGTACAAGGGTAAGTGCTGAATCTGCATAAGGTGCAGAACGCAGGGCTTGAGTAAGGACGAAAGAGTCGAGGAGGCGATGGTTTAGAAGAGTGGGAATTGAGGAGTTGGGGTTATTGGAACGCAGAGTGAGTTGTTGAGATATATAGTCCCACATTGGTTGTATGTGCAACTAATGTGGAGTTTATAAGGTCTTGGGCACTCCCACCCTTTGAGCTAGCTTTTGGGGTGGTGTATCCCAAGGTTCTTTACATGGTATCAGTTTGAAGGTATCGATCCACTTTCCCGATGGCTGATTCTGATTCAGATTCTGGGATACACCACCCCAAAAGCTAGCTCAAAGGGTGGGAGTGTCCAAGACCTTATAAACTCCACAAGAGAAAGTGTGGGGGGGGGGGGGCGAGGCTCTGATACCATGTAAAGAACCTTGGGATACACCACCCCAAAAGCTAGCTCAAAGGGTGAGAGTGCCCAAGACCTTATAAACTCCACATTAGTTGCACATACAACCAATGTAGGACTATATATCTCAACATGAGTCGAATGGAATCATTGAGCTTGACAAATGAGAAACTCTGGTGGCAAAGGGCTCACGACGTGGGGCATAGGAACGAACATGCACTCGCAGTTGCAATGTTAATCTGTTGAACAGCTTAACCTCGCAAAAGAACGGCCTTAAGTGCATCGAAATTAAACACCACCAAGGTTGATGATGCTTATGATTCGTAAACAATGAACCGTTTTGTTCTCCATTGGGGGAGGCAAATAATCAAACACCTTATCTGTATCCCGCGTTGGACTTCAAAAATGAAATTTTAGTGCTATATTAGATACAAGTCGAAATTAAACAAGTAACACAATATAACCTGAATCAAACCTAATAACTTATTTTAGTGTTATTTTTTTTAAGGGTTCATTTTTTTGCCGTCAATGTAGATAAGTTATTTACATTGAGCCAATGGCGGACGGACATTGGTGACAAAACTTGAGATTTTTTTATTTTTATTTTTGGTTTAAGTGGAGGAGAAATCGTACGATGTGTTAGGTAAATATCCTAAGAAGCATATATATAAATAAACACTATTTTATTACGATTAAACTTATATTAATCTACCAGCGCCTTAAATATCCTAAGAAGCATATATATATATATATATATATAAATAAACTTTTGTATCTTAAATAGTGTTGATTTTGCGATTAGTGTCGATCTTACGATTTTTTTCATTCCTTTCCGATCTTAGGTAAGATCTCGATTTTAACAACCTTGATCTTAACATAAAAAATCGTAAAAGTGTTTGAAATTTTGATGAAATCGTTTTGATTAAAAAAAATCATAAAATCGTAAAATCACATATTTAAATCAGGATTTTAACTAACATGGAGCGAGTTTTTTCTACAATGACTTTTGTTAAAGATAAGTTGCGCAATCAGATAAGTGATGATTGGTTTAATGCATGCATGCTAACTTATGTTGAACGTGATATATTTGATATGATTGATGATGAAGATATAATGCAATATTTTCAAGGAATGAAGAATCGAAGAATGCTTTTGTGATCATTCTATTGTAACAGCTTAGTTGACTCTTGATTATTTTTTTTTTTTATGTTAAGTTAAAGATTTCTTTTCTTTTCTTTTCTTTTCTTTTCTTGTTTATATATTTTTTAATACATTTAAATTTTTCTTTAAAAAAAAATCTTCGGGGGCGCTGCCCACGAACCCTCGCCTTAAGGGTGCACACATAATTTTTTTTTTTTCTGGGTCCGCCACTGCATTGAGCCTAAAACGATGTCTTTTTCCAAAGTTATAATAATTTTTATTATAATTTTTTAATTTTTCAATCCAAAACGATATTATTTTGTGAGTGAATGTAGATAACTTATATACATTCACTATAAAAACGTTAAAGTTTTTTTAATACATGAAACACCCC